ATGTTTTGTGTGCCAAATTGAGCCCAACTGCTGGTGGGGGTTTGGAGTGCAACATATCAGTTCAACCTGTGATCCAATAGTTCACCTTTAACAGACATTTAGACGCAAAGTAGATTTTTTACTTAGAAGTAATGTTCTTCTGGTGGCGGAAATAATCAGAAATAATAAACTTTGTCTGTTGAGGTTAGAAATATCTGTTCTGCTTTCAGAGAGCTCTGCACAAGTTGTACTTCATGAGTTTAAACAGGAAGCAGATGGAAACAGTGGGTGTTATAATGAACAAAACTACAACACCAGTAGGCCTTTGTCATGTGGGCCAGTTGAAGCCAAGGTGACACTGGTCTTCTGTGGTCTGAGTGTTACTTCTGCTGCTTGCCTTCACCACAGAGGCCACAAGTCGAGCTGAGGAAACCAGCTTTTCCCCTTATTGTGTTTACAAGTTATTGTTTTTTAATTAAGCAATAACAGATCCACAAGAATCATGAATGGTTTAAACTTCTGGAGGATTCTGGTTTATCTCCACTGGAGCAGAAGTTTGGATCATTTCTGAGCTAAAAGAGACCAGCTATTATTTTAACTAGGCATTCCATAGATTCTAGTGAGAAAAGTGGATCTATGCATGTGTCAGAGATTGGCCAAATATTTAAAATAATTAGAGTGAAACGTTTTAATTGATGGACTAGGCTTGATGCAATAATTAGTGCACTATAGTCAACGAAAATTGCACACATTTATTTTGTTGTAGAACCCCGTGATGATGTTCACCATCACTGCCAACTGAAAGGGAATCACCCACGACACGGATATCTTGCTGCAGAGAGAGAGAGCTGAGAAAGAGCGACCTTGGGTTCTGATGTCCGTTGCTGTCCTTTTTCATAAAGATTCCTGTACAGAGGATGGCAAAGTCTACTCCAACAATCAGATATGGAACCCAGAGCCGTGTTGAGTCTGTGTTTGTGATATGGGGACGGTGGTTTGTGAGGACTTGGTGTGTGAGACCCCTGAGGGCGAGTGCTGCCCCGTGTGCTTGGCTGCAGCACAGCGGCCTGTCACTGACAGGAACTGATAACTGCGAATGCATCCTTGCTGTTTCCTTGCAGTGTTTGGCTTTACTCAAGTCCAGCAGTCGGACAATCCTCCCATCTGTGTCAGGACTGCTGGTGCTCTTTGTCTTCCAGCCTGAAGGCTTTTTCTGCACACAACCTCTAAATTATTTATTTTTAATTAAAAAATGTTGTGTTCGGAGTTTCCCTTTGACTGTACTGTCTGTTTGCAAAAGGAACACGTTTTTCTCAACCTACTTTTGTGCCTGAAAATTGAGCATGTATGTTGAGTATGTTGTCGTTTGTTTTCATGCTTTTATTGCCAAGAGTTAGATGAGAAGATCAATACCACTCTAACTAGACATGAGCAACTTGACTGTTGGATTTCAAGTCACAAGATCACCATGCATTTCTTGCACTGTGGAATTCAAAACCACTTCCAGATACAAATTTAATTCCTCTATGATTTCTGTTTCATTAAGACACCTGCACAGAAAATGGAAAAGTCTACGCCTACAATGACATGTGGAACCCAGAGCCGTGTCGGATCTGTGTGTGTGATATGGGGACCGCCGTGTGTGAAGACGTGATTTGCGAGGACCTTGGCGACTGTCAGAAAACTGTAACCCCCGAGGGCGAGTGTTGCCCCGTGTGCTTGACTGCAGCTCCATCATCAGCTCCCAGTTCAGACCCCACAAAAGGTAAAGTTATTTATAATCCTCTCATATTATTGGATGTTTAGTATGTGCTTCTTTTAACACATCTGTCCTCTGTTCCAGCTGTAGATGAGATGAAAGGGGAAAGCTGCACGGTCGATGGGGAGGTCTACCAGCACAACAGCATCTGGAAACCAGAGCCTTGTAGTGTGTGTGTTTGTGACAACGGTGTCGCCATTTGCGACGAGGTGCATTGTGAACTGCTGTCAAACTGCGAGAAGGTGTCCACACCTGAGGGGGAGTGCTGCCCCGTGTGTGACAGCTTCGCCAGCGCCAGCAGGGCAATAGGTGAGACCAATCAGAATCAGCAACGGTTGCACATATAACGAATTTGACTTTCGATTTAGGTTCAGAACAGTGTATCTCTTCTCAGACAAAGTTGATGAGTAAAAATGTAAGTAACTTTCTTTTTTATGTGTTTTTCCCAAGAAATTATGGGCTTCAAGGTCAGTCATGGTTAATTCCGACATAGATCAATATTTAGCACAAATATCAAATTTACTGTTGTTCTTTGAATTCAAACGAGTTGAAAATATGTTTCTTTTATAGGGAGAGAGAGGTGAACCAGGTGATATCCCATATGTAAGTAATCTCACATGTGTGTACATGCAATTTATTTTTACATATATATATATATATATATATATATATATATATATGTAAAAATAAAT